AATCACCGATTTGGACACCTAGGACATTCCGCTGGATTATCGGACCTGGACAGTCCTATTATACCATACCATACGAGTATAATTCACTCGGTTTTAATTGCAATTAGCGTGATCACTTCCCGTTCTTGCATTGTAAGAATTATAAAATGCAAAGTCTAACTTACATCCTTACTTACAATCATATGTCGCCCTTCAGTCAGTGTCTGTCGTAAAGCCCTTCACTGCTAAGCATAACATTAGAGACATTGAGTGCCAAAGAGTGACAAAACTCTACAAACAGTGCATTGTTTTGCAAACACTCATCACATAAACAGTGATTTGACGACAATTTGAATGCTTTAGTCAATGAATGACTGATTAAGTGATGAATACTTTGAATAAAGTGTTGTTGTATTCAACAAATGACCGCAAGTTTTGTGTCACTATTGAAAGTCCGGACAAATTGATGACATTTAACGCCGTTTTCAATGCAATCATAACTCAAACAAAACAATCGTTTTCTTTAGACTCGCATTCATTTGAGGTTTCATTTCATTCATTGTCTCATCAGTTGCTCATCACTTGTCTCCCCATTTGACAGCTCTTTGACACCGACTTCGAGGAATGGGTTGTCATTGCATCGGGCGATCAGCTGATCGACAATTTAGCTAAAATTAGGGTCAAACCCAAAGACACCAAACCATCGGATAATGAGTTCAATAAAGTGGACACCAATGAGACAACCATTGGATCCATTGGTTCGCACAGATATCCCGACACTTTGACCACTATTAAGGCCATCACTGAAGACAAGAGTTCTTTGAATAATGAGATGAAAAGCAGTGCAGAGGCCGAAGAAAAGGCCAAACACTTGACTCTTATTAACAATCATTTGTCGCAACAAAAGACAGATTTGGGGAAGAATTTGATGACATTTGACATGAATTTCGATAATTTGAACACAAAATCACTGCAAAACACATGCATTCAGAGGTCGGACAAGAAGTCGTCGATTAATAAGATTTTGTTTGAGAGCAACGAATCGATTGGAGATTTGGTTGACACCAAAGGTGTGGCCGAAGAATGCAATGAAACGATGAGCGACTCGACCAATGATACCATCATTCAGTCGATGGACTCGCTGTTGATCTCAAATGATGGCAAAGCGTCGGCCAAATGGTCCTCAAATGCAATCAATTATTTGAATATAAAATTCAGTCACAAATATAGGTATTCCTCCGATTGTCTCCATTTGTATCACAAGACAATTGTCGTACAATTCCGAAGACAGTCGTTGATAGCCATCCGATACCGTTTCGATGACTTCAAAGCCATCGGATTTATTCTGGAGTTAATGGATATAAACAGACGTTGTTTTGAGAAGAACTCATCCAATGATTCGGAAACTAATCCCAAATGGAAGACCATTTCGGATCAAATGAGAAACAATGGTTTCGATGAGTGGACGCCAAGCAAATGCAAAAACGGCTTTAGAAGTGCCATTGATTTGTATAAAAAGGTATTAAAAATCTGAATGTTTTAATGAAATTAACATTTGTGTCAAAATTGTTAAGACTCTGAACAAATGTGCCGATTTGGAGACCGCGGAGAAAGTGAACCCATTGTTTGCAATACTTCATTGGTTTGATCTGAAATTTCTGATCAATTTGTGTGAATTCAATGAAATCCGAGATTTAAGGCAAATGTTTAAACAAAAGAAATACAAGAAATGCGATCATTTGGGTCTCAATGGAGCGACAAAGTTTGGATCCAATTTGTCTTTGTTTTCAAACAATGATAATCACAAAAATGGCAATAAATATGGTTCAACACAATCATTGGCAACCAATCAAACGACTCCGAAGAATAAGCACAGATATCAGTCCAATAAAGATATCGTCGAAACTGTAAAACTCCAAAAGATTTCAAATCTAAGTCAAAGTCGAATACAAGAGTTTAAGACGTTAGCCAATGGCGTGAAGGCAATTGTGGCACAGTTTGGCCACTCCTCAAGACTTGAGAACTTCTGGGAACTGGTTTGCAATCAAATGAGAGCCAATGGCTATAAAAACTACTCAGTCCTCACCGCTAGGAACGTGTTCACGGAGTATGTCTGCGATTATTACTCTCTGGTATTCACTTTTGTATGAATTTTTATACTTTTATTATAATTGTTGTGATTTATTGCAGACATTGACCCGATGTCCTGATTATAAGACAGCTTCAGAAGTGTATCCATTATTTCAAACTATTCATGCCATGGATTTGTCTCAGTGTTTGAGTCAGTATTCTTTCGATAAGATTAAGAATTTAAGGGATAAATTCTCGACTAAATTCTAATTTTATTCTTAATAGTCATCTAAAACTTTAATCATTTTTCTATTGCCTTATAATTGCTGTTTCAAAACAATACGGACATAAGTACCGTAAAAATTTGTATTTCGAGATTGTGTTAAACCACGAATATTATCATAAGTTTAAACTAATAAAATGAGTTTTGTTTGAATTCTGTTTGTGTGTATTTGAATAATTTTATAATTATAGATTTATATTTGAATCAATGACTTTAACCTTTCATATTTGATCAATATTACTAAATTAAGGATTTTATTTTTATTTTCATTACTATGTTAAGTAATAAATAGCTTGTTTTCGTTTATCGAATCCAATTATATTTAGTTAATCGAAACAAAAGAATTTTATAATTATTGTGTTGAATAACTTCATTAAATTACGAAAATAATATATTTTGTTATGAATAATGTTAACACTTGAATGGATCTGTTTTATTATTGTCTCACAATTCTATAAAAGCGTTTCCAATCGATTGGATATCATTTTAATTACAAGAACTCATTGTATAATAGTATATGGTATACTGTACAATATTACAGTATTCTTGTAAAGTTAGATCAACAACTCGCGTATATATTGATTGACATTTTATTTAATTTTGTTTAAATAATTAACAATATGCGTTTGAATGTTTGTGCAGAAAATGTAAGTAATTATGAATTTAACTTATTAGGCAGCAAATATATAGACATAATAATTTTGGATAAATTATTAAACAGTGGCCACCACTAACTGTATTGGAAAATAGGAGTTCCGGTAATTATAAATTAAGGGGTATAACGGGAATACTATGGAATGGATTTGCAAAGAATTATAATATAAGGTAAACTAGGCTTTAAAAGTTACAAATTCTGTTAAACATTAACTTTATGTTTCAATAGTTATTCAGTTGTCAGATCTTCAGATGGCTTTTGGGGAATCAATGCAAACAACTCGTGGACTGGAATGATAGGCGATATCATAAAAAATGTAGGAAACAATGAAAATGTTATTTTATTCTTTAAACTCCACTTTTATTACCGTAAAAAGAGGTGTCATATAAGTGTCGGACCCTTTGAGATGCTTTCTGATCGCTACAAAGTGGTTAACTTCACGGATACGGTTTACATCGACGGCTACGCTATTATGACCGCTTCTAATGATATACAAACTCAGACCAAAACAGCAGATATTTTGCGTCACTTATATTCTCTTGAATTCAATTTTTGGATTTTATGCATATTTTGTTGCATTTTAATCGCAATTATTTTAGTTGTCATATCAAACATATCACTTGGTTTTCATTACGAAGAAACTTTTGATTTAACTCTTATTAAATTAGTTTTAATGAAATGTGAGCCATTTATAAGAAAATGTATGCTTACTTAGTAACAGAATATAATGATATCATTAATTTTTAGCAATTATTTACTTTCCTCCAAACAAATGGACTTCAATCTATTTAATCATTTTAATTTGCATTGATTTCCTTTGGGTTTACCTGAATTCGCTTATTAGTGCAGAACTGCTGACCATTAAGAGAAATAAAGAAATTGAAACCTATGATGACTTGATCCAACAGAAAGATATTATCCCAATAGCTTGGGCTCACAGCGCCTTCATTCAGCATTTAGAAGTATTCAGTGTTTAAAAATACAGTATTTGACTACTAGTCTAGAATTTTTAGTAAACTATTTAATTTATATAAGGATTCCGATAATGAAGTGTTGAAAAAGTTATTGAAAATCTTGAACGATAACGCAAACATATCTCTTGTCAATGAAAATCCTTACCACAAGAAGTCTAATCGGATTGAGTTTATGAGGCGTCGGAATGCATTCCTCGACACCGAGGCCTCCGTTTATGTCTCCAAAGCACTCCTCTGTGACGATAACCCAAACATTTTAATACATATGGCAAACAATATATGGGACACTCAGAAACACCTGGCTATGGCCTCGTCCAAGACAATCACCGACTCCTATTTTGTGTCCACCATTTCAAGACTAAATAACTGGTATTATAAATCATTCTTAACATGCATTCATTGATTTTAGAGTTATTTTTGTATTATTATGTTAGGATCCGTTTATCACATGCATCAGGATTTATAGGGAAATGGATGTCTCAAGTGAACTATGCTTTGGGACGGAAAAGAAATTGTCATTTGTTTAGAAAATGCTTTTTTCAGTCCACTTATCATTCAAAGAAAATATCATTCATTGATTTGAAATTCTCATCACTTTTAACACTCATACAAATAGTGGCATTTCTAACACTAATCACTTTAATTGTTTTTATTAGTGAATTAATTTCAAAATACTGTTTATTGAAATGATTTTTCTGAATACAATAAATAGTTTGTAGTGAACAGTACTATCGGCCGAATCGGACCCAATCTGAACCCCGTTCCCCAATCATCATTGAACAGGCATTTGTGTTGGCGTTTATGATTTTAGGCATAATTGAGGCGTCGATTACTCGCAGATTCCTCACTCCCCTAACCCTCAACTGGTTGTCCACCACAGCGTCGGGATCTGTTGCATTACCCATACGACAGGTGCCTAACCATTGGCCACAGAATTAGATCTATTGTGAGTATAATCACTGAATACATACCGACGGGATGGTAAGACGTGGCAGTTATGGTCTGTGCAACACATGCCAGGTATGAATAGCATTCATAATAAGGTCCAGAATCACACATTTGACAGCCGGGTATAGTTTTGTTGTAAATTCTCGCGAATTGTCTAAAGAATGGCTGTTCAGTCATACGCATACCGGTGCTCATTGTGTCGACAACGACACCCAAGTCGTAATTCTCGTGGAAATAATTGGGATCAATGAGGGGCGCATCCATTGGATTAGTTGAGGCCAACCTAAGAGTACCTCTACTTCTAGGCCTATAAACGGCATAAAAGATCCAGAAGTGTCTTTGATCTCCGGCTAAACCGTTCCAATAGTCGGCCCATTCGTCCACATTCTGGCCATAATCAGCTAAAATGCTGCTTATATTTGCGCCTAAGTTTGCAAATATGATAACAAATTATAAGAATATTCTTGAGACAAAGACCAACCGATTTGTGAGGTGAGTGTGGCTCTGATGCCGTCGGGCCAGTCGGGGTTGTCATTAAACCTGGAGCTGTGGTACGTGAGAACAGTCGGCAATTGAGTGAGTGGTCCGTTTGCGTTGACATAATATTCATAGAGATTCTGGACAGTCATTATTGAATCCAAATTTCTTGACCACTGAATGTCGGATTGATTTTGTACTAAATAGTCGATTGGAATCAATATGTGGTCCATTAGGTTATTGCCGACCGGGAGGTCCATTTGGACAGGTATTCCCATATCTTGTAAGTGCTGTCGAGGGCCTATTCCTGAGAGCATTAATATTTGGGGAGTATTTGTGCTGCCTTTTTGAACAGAAATACAATGAATTGTTAAAAAATTATAACATAAGGTTAATTATGTTAAGATACCGGCTGATAATATGACTTCCCGTCGGGCACTGACTTGATATGTCTGACCATTTCTGACGAACTCAACACCAGTGGCCGCCAATCCATTGGTGTTTTGTAACAAAACTCTTGTGACTAAAGCTCTGCAGACGACGTGAATATTATTACGGTTTCTGATCAACGGCTCAATAAAACTGGAGGACGTCGAGGCTCGGGTCCAGTTTGTGGGCGACGCCGCCTGTTGTATAAGCGCTGGCATTGAAACACAAAACTTTAGTAAAACAGGTATTTTCAAAATAAATCAATTACTGGTTCCTCTTTGTGTGGCTCCGTTGAAGTCAATGGTAGGCCAACCCTCTCGACCCCAGGCTTCCATATATCTGAGTAGAATTGGGTCGGGATTTGGTGCCGAAGCGATTGGCATTTGACCGGAGGTCGAGTGATAGGCAGAGTTGGCCGCATACATAGGATTTGTCTGGTTTTCCATTCGCAAAAAGTATGGCAACACATCGTTATAGGACCACCCGGTGGCCCCGTACCTGTTGGCCCAGTTATCGTAGTCTCGACGATTACCTCTGTTATAGATGGCATAGTTTGTGACCGATGAACCCCCTAATACACGACCCCGAGGGTATAGGATTCGTCGGTTTACAAATGCAAAGCCTTTTGACAATTAAATTATTAGCAACATTTTATGTCATATATTGATTACAAAACGAACCGGCTCTTTGTTGAGGTGTAGTCATATACCCCCAATCATTTTCGCCAACCATCCCAATCCAGGCATTCGCCAACATATCTGTAATGTCTGTCTGAGGACCGCCCGCCTCAAGCAATAGTACATTAGTGTTGGGGTCTTCAGTGAGTCTCGCGGCCACTATAGAGCCCGAACTCCCGGAGCCGATGATTATGTAGTCATAAGTGTTGTTCCATTGGGTTCTGTTGGCCGCCTCATTGTGCAGAAGTTGTCTTTGAAGTGAAATAATAGATATAGTAATCAATTGGACGGAAAGACTTTGAGATATTAAAGTCATTCTCTTGTGTTAGTGTTGCCTTAATTCACATCAAATCAGTTATGAAAACTTTTGCTATGTTTTGTTAATTTTTTACTCATATTTTGTTTTTATAAACGCTATAATAACCCGTATTATAATTGAAATATTGGTTATTAATCGGTTAATTCATTGAACTGTGGGTTTAGAAAATAATTTGCATTTTTGCACAAATTATTTAATGAAATTTTATTATATAATAATGTGTTTAATAAACTCATAGCATTTCCAATGATACGGCACCTCATTATCAACAGTCTGGCATCGATTATATGCGGGAACTATTCATAAACACTTTAATTCATTTGTACGCCTAGACAATAGTTGACATAAAAATCTCTTTATTTAAAAAACTTTTTAAATGATTACCATTTACTGAAAATTAATCATAAACCCAAATACTCCATGAATTGTTGTGATAAATAGGGTTAGCGTTTGGATCAATTGGCAGATTAAGAGGTGGAACTGCTGTTTCATTGTATTCTAGTATCTTTGCCCACAGTCTTTGTACAACATTTGGGTAAAGTTTTGCCACATTATTATATTCACACGGATCTGATCTGATGTCAAACAAACACATTTCATGAGTTAAATCACAATTTGTAGGCTTCCCATGAATTCCACAATCAATTCTCGTCTCTTTAAAAATATTAAAATTTGGTTTTCTTTTCCCTTTTTGTAATATTTTATATACAATTGAATTAATCCTTTCAGACTTTACTTGAGATTCGGTTTCATAACTTTGTGACCACTGGTCTGAATCACGAGATATATCCTTAGGAACTGATCCCTGAAGTAGTTTCCATTCATTCATTATAATGGAAGACATGTTCCAAATGGGATCAATATTTAAGAGCATTTCGTTTTGTTTCTGACACTTCTCTTCGTTCAATACTTTCCACAACGAAATGCCATCTAATTTATTGCCATTATTTGCATGTTTGCCATCAATTGCTTCCAAAAGAGTTGGCAACCAATCAATCACTTGTATATAGGAATCGGACACAAAACCAGATTTTCTCAATAATGGACTCCATATAAATGCGGGAACTCTTACACCCCCTTCCCATAGAGTGCCTTTAGTTCCTCTTAACGGGTAATTTGAAGCAGAATTCTCTAAACAAACAATAAATTTAAGTCATCTAGTAATTTTTAATACACTTAAACACAAACCCATAAAACCACTGATAGCTCCGCCGTTATCACTGAGAAAAACAATTATAGAATCGTTAAGAATATTCTTGTTATGCATTTCTTCGACAATCCTTCCGATCGACAAATCCATTGAGTAAAGAGTGGCCGCAAAGGTTCTCCTATTCTCGTCTTTGATATAACTAAACTTATCAATCAATTCTTTGGGCGCCTGGAGTTCATAGGGATTGTTAGCCGAGTGGACATTTTGATATGACATGTATAGAAACAATGGTTCATGAATATTGTGTTCGGATATTAATTTCACAGCACTTTCGGTGTAATAATCGGTCGAATATTTTCCGTCGGCGTCTTCAATGACATCTAAATTATGTCTGAAATCTAATCCTTCGAAACCTCTTTCAGACATCGAGTGATTGTAATAGTCTTCATATGCCGTCCAAAAGCCTATGTGTGAGTCAAAGCCTCTACTGATTGGTATGTATTCCTTGCGATAGAAACCTAAGTGCCATTTCCCGATCGCATGAGTACTGTATCCAAAATCTTTTAGATATTGAGGCAATAGTTTGTGTCTGAGAGGCAACCCCCACGGGGCGGCACCCAATAGCACATAGTTTTGTGTTCCACTGTGTATGGGATGAATACCTGTCCCGTAGTTTGGGAATCAAATATATATTTTCTATGAAATTCATAAAATATAATCAGATATAAGAACCGGTGAGAAGTGCTCCACGACTTGGACTACATAAGGGTTGACTGTAATAACGACTTAAACTGATTCCGTCGGCGGCCAAGGAGTCGATATTAGGTGTACTCAAGTGTCGTGAGCCGTGATATCCGATGTCATTCCAGCCCAAGTCGTCGCTCAGGAATATCACTACATTTGGCTTAGTTTTCAATGCATTTATTATTTTATAATTGATTGCAAACCATAAAAAGACAATTAAGAGATTTGTCATTTCATGCATGTTTTAAGTTTATTGCATAATCAAATTAAACCAATCACACAATTATTACACTATTTATTTTTTAAATGTTGTTATATACTGTATAATTAAAATAACAAACCCGGTGTACTGTATATGGCAATATGTATGTTGTAAATATGGCAAACTCTTATCTGTTTAACTGATAAATAATTTATATAAAAGTTTTCCTCAATTCTATTTATACTTTAATATACTGTTAACTCGTATACAAGTTTACTCTTATAATGTTAGAACTTTTAGTTCAATAAACCTGATGTCAAGAATGTATTCATATTAAAAAATCTACATTTTATTTAAGAATTACAACAGAATAATACAAAAACTAAAGTTAAAACTTGAATACAAAAAATATTGCATAAAAAACACAATTTAAATATTTTTAAAAAATTCTATAACTATGAAAAAACAGTCTAAAGACTAAAACTAAACTTAAAATAGAGATAAAATGAATAAATAATTAAAGAATAAAATTAAATAATTACATTTTTGAGTTATTTTTTATATGTTTTACACAAAACTGAATGAAAGCAATGATAAGTAATTGATAACTAATGAAACTATTGAATTGAACAGGAATTTGTTGATTCTTTGGGAGATAATGGCTTTGAAATGTTCACTATTTTCTCGACTTTGGGCTCAATTATTGGTTTATTTTCGTTGCAAACCTTTTGCAGACTTTTATCCAAATTCTTTTCCACAGCGACCGCTGATTTCGAGCCCTGAGTACTGCTTTGGCCACAGAAGTGATCGCCATATTTGTCACCGAATGGCAGACCGAATCTCTGGAAGAACTCCTCGAGAAAGCGCTGTTCCATCACTTGTTTACTGATTTGCGCTGTTTTTCGTTCCTCTGAATCGATTTCCTGGAGTTCTCTCATCAGAAGCTTATAGTTTAACTCAAACTTCTTCTTCTTCTTCATCGGAGTCTTCTTCGAGTCATTAATCTGTTGGTTGTGTCCATCGTTCGCACCGACAGTCAACTCAACGTTCGGTTCATACAAGTGATGGTCGAAGTTGTTGTCCAAACCTCTCGTCTCTTTTGGGTCACTCTTTTTGGCCTCAATTTCCTTCACTTTGTCTCTCACTTTGCTCTTCACGTCAGAGCCTTTGCGTCGGTGTTCGCAGACATGGAGGTTATGGACATGTCTTCGCATGTTATAAATGGTTCCCTCGTAATAACAGCCCTCCCAAAGACATTGGCATCGCTTTGTCGGTAAAGCAGTCCAATGGCTCTTGAGGTTAGCGTCGGAACAGACATCGGTGTCCAGCAGTGGTCTGATCCCAAAACCGCACAAATGGTTCTTCAGGTGTTCCCTAAGAGAACTACGACTTGAGAACCATTTGAGACAATCGATGCGATCGCATCTCAACTGCTTCTTCGTCTCAACCCTTCCAGCGCTCGCCTCTTCGTCTCCATTCAGATCTTCCATCTCTTCGTCCGACTCATTGCTCTCGTTGTCAACGGATGGCCACGTCTTGGAGGGCATTGGCTTCTGGAGTGGTCTCTGATGTGGTCTCTTGAGTGCATTCCTCCACACGTGACACACGTGTTGGTTGTGCACGTGTTTAAGTACTTCGCCCAACGATCGCGAGTATCCACAGAACTGACACTCATATGTCTTGAGCCTCGCGCCCACCGACACGTCCCTCACGTACTGAGACAACTGCTGGCGAGAGCACTGGTGGTTGTCGTTCAACGCATCCGTCCCGAAGCCGCACAAGTGGTACCTTCGGTGGTCTCGCATCGACTTCTGCGTCTGGAACTGCTTATGACATCCCATGACATCGCATACGAAGACATTTGCATTCGAAGCCATTGTTCCGTCGTTTGGCTCGCAATCAGTCGATCAGTGGATCCAATGCTCAGCACTTGTGTCGCCAATACAAGCCTTCACTGAGCGGTGCGTTCAGTGACTGTCAGTGACTGTAAGGCACTGTAAGGCACTGTAAGGGAGGGGCTGTTGTCACTCACCCCTCACAACCCCCTCACAGGTCATCACTCATCACATCCTCACTCAATGGCACCAAAAAGAGCGCCAATTCTGTGGCCAATGGTTGGACACAACACTCACTCTCACTGTGGGCTCACTTTCACTGGATTCACAAATAGTGTTACCATTTGTTTGCATATATTCTTGTGGACAAAGAATCGGCAAAATTATAGTTGAATTCTGTTAGACACACAATGCATATACAGAATATTCACACAATCAATACCATATAAGTAGGAAATTCTGTTCATTTATTTACTAATAGTTTTTATGTTGTATTATTCACTCAACACATGAAATAATATCATTGAATTGAAAATTAATGCGAGAATAATATAAAAGATATAATGAATTAATTAATGAATTAAAGTGAGCGCGCAATCAATTGTCGACATAATTGTCATTCAAATCAACGAATAGACAGAATATTACAGAATATTACAGAATATTACAGAATATTACAGAATATTACAGAATCGATGGCCGGATTCGGTGGCGTTTGGGCTGCAGTTGCGGTCATTATATTTACCCCACTGTTAGGTATTTTATGAAACAATTCTAGTGTTTGCACTCATATTTGAATTGTCGTCTCAATCCTCAGGAGGAATTGTGACATATATAGCATCAGTGGATCAGTGGATCAGTGGATCAGTGGATCAGTGGATCAGTGGATCAGTGGATCAGTGGATCAGTGGATCAGTGGATCAGTCGATCAGTCGATCAGTCGATCAGTGGATCCAATGCTCAGCACTTGTGTCGCGAATACAAGCCTTCACTGAGCGGTGCGTTCAGTGACTGTCAGTGACTGTAAGGCACTGTAAGGGAGGGGCTGTTGTCACTCACCCCTCACAACCCCCTCACAGGTCATCACTCATCACATCCCCACTCAATGGCACCAAAAAGAGCGCCAATTCTGTGGCCAATGGTTGGACACAACACTCACTCTCACTGTGGGCTCGCTTTCACTGGATTCACAAATAGTGTTACCATTTGTTTGCATATATTCGACATATGGACAAAGAATCGGCAAAATTATAGTTGAATTCTGTGGACACATAATGCATATACAGAATATTCACACAATCAATACCATATAAGTAGGAAATTCTGTTCATTTATTTACTAATAGTTTTTATGTTGTATAGTATTATTCACTTAACACATGAAATAATTTCATTGAATTGAAAATTAATGCAAGAATAATATAAAAGATATAATGAATTAATTAATGAATTAAAGTGAGCGTGCATTCAATTGTCGACATAATTGTCATTCAAATCAACGAATAGACAGAATATTACAGAATATTACAGAATATTACAGAATATTACAGAATATTACAGAATATTACAGAATATTACAGAATCGATGGCCGGATTCGGTGGTGTTTGGGCTGCAGTTGCGGTCATTATATTTACCCCACTGTTAGGTATTTTATGAAACAATTCTAGTGTTTGCACTCATATTTGAATTGTCGTCTCAATCCTCAGGAGGAATTGTGACATATATAGCA